GTGACTCAATTAATTGCGTCAAATAATTGCGTCAATTGCGTCAAGGATCTACCTATTTCTACCACATGTATACTATAGATCCACAGGTCCTATATTTAAAATAAATAAATATTTAAATAATATTTAAATATTATTTAATAAAATCTAAAGATAAAATTCTTACCTAAAGTTAAATTTTTTGCTTTTTTTAACTCTTATTTTATTTCTAAGAATATTTTTGCAATTTTATAATTAAGAATTATTTCCAATAATATTGTCTTTCCAAGCAAATCATAATTATAATATAAAAATTTTACAAAATCTTTAAAAAAAAATAATTGATCACATGAAAAAAAATTTTACAATAGGTAAAAAATTGAATTAATACCATATAACATTAAACTATTTTGCTTTTATTAATCAAATTATTATCATTAAATTATTCTATTTTATTATCTATCTTTCTTTTATGAGTTAATGATAATGGTTTGCTTCTTATATTTTTAAAAGTTTAGTTTTAATATTTGAAGAAACTTTTATACAAAGATATACAAGATATATAAGATGTTTTCCATTTATATAGATTTTCCTTGCTTTCAAATCTTGTTACAATAGTTGTATTTAGTACCAGAATAAATATCATTGGATTTTTAATTTTATAAAGTGTTTTCAAATAGTAAACTTAGAATAATTATTTTTGTTTAGTATTTAAAACAGAATTTGAACTTTGTGATTATATATCTTCAATAATAGTTTCATTATCAAAACTAAATTTAGATATTTTAAATTTATTAAGAATAATAATTAAAAAAAATTAATATTAGAAAAATTCATTTTATATAACTAATCTTATAAATTATGTCGTAATTAATTTTTAAACTTTTTTTTTGATAATTATTACATAAAAAAATATAAACTTTATATTTAATAATAATTATTCTAATAAAAATATTTTATAAAATTGATTTTTTTACTATATAGTTTAGATTTTTATCCCAAATAATATAAATATAGTTAATACCAAATTATGTTCCAAAGTCTCAAACCTTAAAGATTTAAACAGTAATTATAGTCTAAATCAATGAATATCTACTTAAATTAAGTAATTAAATAGAAGAATAAATAATAAATTCTTTTTTATTGAGTTATTAAATAAAAAGTAAAATATTTTGTAATGTAAATTATATATTAAAGACCTGTGGGTCTATAGCACAGTGGTTAGTGCTCCACAGGTCAGATCACAAGATACTGGTTCAACCCCATATAAAAGCGGTTGAATAGAATTAATATGGTATCTGGCATCATAACCAATTAAGTGCTGTTTCTCATGAGAAGCCGTTTCACATGCCGATCTGGCAGACATTGAGATTATGATTTCCCGTTAAGGCGCAGTGGTGTAACGATCGTCCGGATGGTGTTATGATGATTGTCTACGAAAGGAGTCATAGAACCACCCACACATTTGAATATACAGACTGGGCTATACTCTATCTTAATCAATCCCAAGCCGCTAAGTTCTCTCATTAATTACCAAAGTAAAGATATCTTGAAAAAGACCATTGAACCGACACATGCCCATGTGCAGATATGACAGCCATGTGGTGAGACAGAGCATGTAGGAGTTGCATCCTGCTTGGCATTTATGCCCCTAGATTTGGCAGCATACGCCAACCAGTCTGAAATCTGGATTGTCTACTAGGAGATTAAGAAGTGTCGGTCTGTCATTGATAGACTAGATCCTTAAGGAGTCATGCCCCAGTTGGCCATAAGGCCCCTAGATTTGGTAGTGCCCAACCAGCGGTCAAAACCGGAGCATTCACTAGGGAGTGCATGCTTGCATCAAAGGCACCCTCTACGGCATGGCATTGTGAGCGAAAAGGTGGTACGTAATAGATAGCTTATAAAAGTAGTTAGTGATACCTAACCCACCCACGACGCCCATCAAAAATTGGACCGGTAGGTTGGATGGTTTAAAACTAGTGGTAGGATTTCCACCCCCTAGATAGATCCCCCCCAAAAATACAAGTCCACTTCAAGAGTGGCACTTGTATCGCTGGGGCATTAAGAGTAGAATAGGTTAGCATTAAGCTGTAGTCTAGCACTATAGAAGATGTTTGATGTAATTGTGATATCGTATATATATCAATAAACAATGGCATCTAATGCCCGTTCTACTATAAAAAAAAAAAATAATAATAATAATATTGTATAAATATTTATTTAATGTTTTTTGTTTAATAAGTAGAAATCGATTAAGATAATTATGAGATTGGGAATAAAGAAATTTTGAGCAAATTTATTTTTGAATTTCAAGAAATTTATTTCAATCTTTGTAAATGTTTAATATTAAAAATTTGTTTTTGATATCATTGAAAATTGTTTGATCCAATAAGAGAGATGTGCTTGTAAGCACTTAGATGAAAATGTTTTTTGTAAGAGATATTTTTTTTTTCTGTAATTGATTTTTATAAATACTATTTTTTAAAATTAAAAATTTTTCTTCAACGCAATTTAATAAATATTTTTATTTTTATTGATCTTAGCGTCAAATATCGAGTATTGAGTACAATTACATTTAATAATCATTTTCCCTTTATATAATAAACGATTTATCATTTACAAGATAAAAAGGAAGTCATGTTTTTCTTTATACAGTATACCGCATCTGTTTTTTCAATGGAACGTTCGTGATCGTTATATTTTTGTATGAGACATCTTTATTAGTTTCAACGTATTAAAAAAAATGCCCAGTTCACATTTCATCACGGTATTGTATCGATTGTTTAATCGACATTCTCATTTTTCTCACACCGATAAGCATGTGAATATTTGTTATGCAAATTTTAAATTTATTGTTACTAAATAACAACACATTCTTAACACATTGTCATAATGTAAATGACATCAAAGTTTAAATAAAAATTCCAATTGTTCTTTTATAAATTGCCGTACAGTATTGCATTAATTAAAATGGTAGTTAAATATAATTCCCACAAAGTCCGTGTTATTTTAATTCACCGATATGCAGTAAAATCAGTAATTTTGTAAACAACCGTGTGTATAAAGGCTTTCTGTCGCCTAAATTAGATCGAAATAATGAAGATTAATATACGCAGATGCAGCATCATACAGTATCGGTATAGTGGCCATACTTACTTTTTGTGGTTTTTGAAGGTTTATATTCAGGAAATGAGATCGACAATACTGTATACAAATATATTTGTTAGTGACATCGAAAACTTGGTAGGTGTGTTCACGTAACCATACCCGAAGTTTCAAATATTTGATCGGCTAGTACCCTGAGTTCGCTTGTCCAGGTCATGGGGTTGAGCGATTCTAAAAAATTAACATTAAACTCAGTTGTAGTTCGTGCAGCCAGAAGATCACATGCGAGTTTAAACTACCTTCAATGTCACACTCTTGTTCATTGAATTCATGGAGCCGTTGGTTAAGGCAGTTCTGATAAAGTGTTTCGCCTTTTCATGAGAAAAATTTTTTTGTTAAAAAAAATCACGGTATTGTGCAATTAAGGGAAACGATTATATACTTACGACATTCTTCAATCTTATCAACATATTGAAGTTGAACGTCAGACAAGGAGGGAAGTGGCTGACTTGTAGTGTTTTCATGTGAACTAGGAGTGGAATTAATATCTTCTGCTTTCAAATGTGTGTCTCCCTTGTGAGAAACCATTTTTGGAGGAACCAATTGTCGTTTTGCAATTTTTTCAATCCACCCATTGAAAGTTATTTCAAGATCACGTGAAGTAGGTCTCATATCGGGATCTCCGTTCCAGCAGGCTTGCATGATTAAAGAATAATAATCAGGTATATCTGAAGAGATTTCTGGACGAGCACCTATTTAACAGGGTTATCTAGCACCCATCAATTTAATTAAGGTAACGGCGGCCGAAAAACAACTCTTTGATTTACCTGAACAAATTTCTAATGCCAGAGTTCCATCGTATCTCCTTCCTCTGAACGGTCGTCTGCCTGACCATAGTTCATACATTATAATACCAACACTGTAAACATCAGATGCTCGCGTGTATGGGCGTCCGCGCAAAACCTCTGGTGCTACGTAGGGAAGTACGCCACGAATTTTCCCGTCTTCACCAAAGGCAGAATTACTCCAACAAAGACCTAGGTCACTTATCATTGTCCAACCATTGTCCAGCAAAATGTTACCAGTGTGCAAATCTTTCTTTTAAGTTGATAACGGTAAGAGTGAGGTCAGTTATTTCCATTTTTGCAAGTACTTTATGTGAATGCGAGATGTTGCATACGTGCACAAGCCCAGCTCTATGAATGGACACCAATCCACCCGCAATATCCTTGAGAGTGTTGATCCTTTGTAGCCAAGTAAGAGTAGAGAAGTTTTTGTCGAGATATTTTCGAAGATCCCCATCGCGAGCATAGGACGTAACGACAATAAATTCGCGAGTTGAAGGACAAAGAGAAATACCGTAACAGCGTACAACATGACTGACCAACGTGCTAAATTGGTGATATGCACTCAACTAACGAAAAAAAATGCAGTAGGTTATTTGGCAAAGGAAAAACTGAATGATAATGTTTACAAATTGTTACTTACCTCACCTAAGAAATCTGATGTCACTTTATTTGAATTTTTTATGCGTTTTAAAATGATTACATCGGATTCCATTTGCGGCCAACCTCGTTCCCATGTCTTGGCAGTTACGTCCCACGCTCGTATAGGACCCTGAGGCCAATTTGCTGTAAATCTGTAATTGATAATAATTATTTGTTACGTATATGCATAACGCCGAATTACAGTGTCTTGTCCAACAACCAAGAAATACCTACACCGAACTATTACCACCATCTGCAAGGTGTGTCACATTTTTAAACTTATCGTATTCTATCCATTCTAAGATCGACCTGGCATTGGTCGCCCTACGTTGTGCCATTTGAATAAAGTTGTCGAGTTCCTTATTTCCACTTGACCAATGCGAAAAGTTCATCTGAAAATGTTCGCTATTGCAGTATTGACACCAACTGTATCCGGTCATCGGACTCTTGCATTTTTCACATTGACCAGGTTGCGCCAACGGCCGAAGACTATTTCTGGAAGGCCAAGTTATTTTATTTGATTTTTCTATTGAGAGGTCATCTTGACCCTCAGTGGATGTTCCCTGTTGTCCCTGGTAGAATGTGGGTGTATATGGCGTAGAGGAAGTGGAATTGGGTGTATATGGCATAGAGGAAGTAGCATTGGGTGGAAGCGGCGCAGAGGAAGTGCCATTGGATGGCAGTGGCATAGAGAAAGTGACATTGAGTGGAAATGGCGGCGCAGAGGAAGTGCCATTGGATGGCAGTGGCATAGAGGAAGTGACATTGAGTGGAAATGGCGGCGCAGGTAAAGTGGCATTGGATGGATATAGATCAGAGGAAGTGGTATTCGCTTTATATGAATTGTCCGAAAACATTGTGTGATGGTTATAAGGAAGAAGATATGGAGCTTCAATTCGTGTAGAATTTTTGGAAATCCATTCTTAAATACCGTATTGTGTCGATTGTAGCATTTTGGTTACTATATGCGTGTATCGTGAATCCAAACATTCTCTAGAATTAGTATAATAATCACAAATTGAGCAGGATTGTAACATATAAAACAAATACGGTATTGTAACAATAAGCAAAGTGACTAATCAGATGATCATTTTCAAAGTACAGGATATCCCGATTCCTAATGCTAATGTATATTAATGATGTACTGTATGCTGTCGCTGAATTATCAAGTCCACACGGACGTAAATTCGTATGGTACAGATCTACAGCGTTTGCCTTGTTCGGTTTCTATTATGGTGTATAATTTGTACGGTCCTTGTTGCGTACAAAAAAAAAACCAAACAAGAAAATTTTACTATTAAAGATGTTGGATTTCAATATTCTTACTCTCTTCAATATGCGTAGGTGAAGTTTATCAAGTGAAAGCTTTTAATTTCCAAAAAATTCTTTCCGAGAATACTTGTGATTAGTCGATCATCGAACAAATTGAATTTTCTTTTATGCATCCATCGTACCTGGATTTGCGAATCTATGGTAAACCTTGTGAACACATTAGGCGAAGAATGCTTATTGTACGGTATGTACAAAACAAACAAATACCGGTTTCCATTTGAACTACCGAAAACAGAATTTCATTTAAACTTAAGACTTTGTGCATGCAGGATGAATTCATAATTGAACAGGAATTCGTAAACATTACCAAAAAACTACAGTATTTTGCATGTGTCACACACCTTTTAATGTGTGATTTCAGCGAGTTACGCTAGTATTCCTCTTAACAAATGTTTTTACGAGAAAAAACAACACACAATTGACTTTTAACCTTTTGATTTACCAATCGCACTACACTTGCTTGCCCATGGCTTTAGGTATGTGCCGTATTCAGTATTAAATTTACGGTGAACGTATGCTGCGTGATCATCATGCAATTAAACGCATTCATTTGGATTCTTGAAATTCTCGGGCAAAAACGAAAAATCATGTTTATTTCCCATTATCCTTTCTCAAGTCAAAAAATTTGGCATTTTTTATTTTTTCTTTCACTCATTTGATTTTTGATAATGTTATATGTGCTAACAACTAAAAGAGTGATGGTTTCCTTGTCATGTCTTTAGTTAATCTGCATGTCAAGACAAAGATGAAGGGTGAAACCCTTCCGAACGTCATGGTCAAAAGGAGTATGCTTATCATCGAGCTTTTTATCAGCGAAAATTAACCGTAGATCGCGGATGGGGAATTCTCTCTTTCCGGTAGATTTCTTTCTTTATTTGGCGAATGGTGTCGGATTTCTGGGTCAAAGAGAATGTTTTTTTTGTTACCTCAGGTCTTCACGAAGATTTTTATGATAACCCTGGAAGCCGAGAGTGACTTCCAAGGACTCATTTATTCGGACTTCACTTTTAACTTTGACACATTAAAGAATGAATTATTGTATATGAATACCGTACTGTATAATGTAAAGTATGACTCGTATTTTCTGAAAGCATTTATAAATGATGATGCCTCATGAAAAGTAATGTTTGAATATTGTACCTTTTTATTATGAAATTTACGTAAATAAAAAATTCACATTGGGAAATTATAAATTGCACAAAGCGCAAACATAGTCAGATGGAGATACGCAATATCTCTCGTGTCAACGCCAAGGACGACAGAACGGTTCTTAAAATATCAATTAAATGTCACAATCACTTTGAATCGCTTTGCATATTATAAAAAAAATCGAAAAGGGATTTGTTAATACAGTGTAAATATTCATTTAAATAAATTTGGGTTTAGTTATTTGGACTGGAGTTTGTACTGTACACTGATCAACGGTGTATTTATGGTAAGGTTTCATTGATATATTGTACGTATAGGAGTTCCTTATCGGCATAGCGAAGCAAGAGCCGAATTCCTTCTCGATATGGAGATGCAATGGGTCTTGTGCAACTGAAAGTCAAAGGTCACAGAATAAACAATTCGCTTATGCTTACGTTCGGCGAAAAAACAAAGATTATTTAAATATGTTATCTCTTCCATCTTAAGATTTAATTTAAAATTATTTTTCATGAATTTCTTGTTTGGCATAAGCTCTCTGTTCTTTCTTTTCTTCATTCGCGACACTAGCTCATTCACCGTTAGTGGAAGAGCAGGGCATAGTGCCGCATTATATGAAAAGAAGATTTACTTTCAAGGTGGAAAGAGCTACAATGTTTCATCTAGCAACGACTTCTTTTACCTTGACATCTCCAAAAGCTTTGACATCACCAACCCATCGTCCGTCCCCTGGGTGAATCTCCTCTTTCCAAATCAACCATCTCGGTCATATGCTTCCTCGTGCGTAGCTGGAAAAGGCGTCTATGTCTTTGGAGATTCTGACAATACTCTACCTGCTGTAGTTCAATTTGATCTCAGTGATCAATCATGGAAAACGCCGACTGTTAATGAACTGGCAACATATAATTCTAGCAGTCTCGCATATCAACAATGTTTAACATCAGGTGATGGAACTATTTACATGATTAACGGTTATGCTAGAAATGTGATTACCTTTGACACTGTGAATTTAAATTGGAGGGAGGACACCTTTTCGAAAACGCCAAATGTTAAACGCCAAAATAATGTTATACTATCGGACGGAACCATTCTTTTTTTGGGTGGGGAGTTTAACGGCGATAGGTATGGTTATGTCTTATATAAGTCGGTGAGTCGAGACGCTTGTTCTCTATCGGTTCTCGCTGATAAAGAATCATAATTTTGGATAACCTTAAAAATTAATTTTCTTTTTCCCAGATTTGGACATATAGTACGAAGAGCAAAAGGTGGAATATGGTTGTGAGTGAGATGCAACGTTTGTTTATGATGATGGATCTATTTGAAATTTTTATATGATCGTGTATCTTTGCACAGAACACCACAAACGAATTAACATACTTCTGTACCCCCACCGCCACGACATTACGTGAGCATAGCGTACCTTATTCATTCACTTATCGTTCGTTGCTCATAAAATTACTCATTATTATTTCTGGAAAAAAATTTTTTTTCAGTTCCCGATGGCCGTGTCATAATATTTGGGTGCTTCCAATCAGACATTCCTTCTGGAATAGTGGTAATTGATACTCGGAATAACTACGAGTTTTTCATTCCAACCGTCTCAAATCAAGGACCACCCTTCACGTTAATGGATTTCACCGCTACATCGACCGGAAAATACATTTTGATTGCATTCGGTAAATTGATTACTTTTTGGATTAAAAATCGCTTTCGTTAGAGTCACTACCACCTGCGATAAACATGTTTGCTTCTCAAAAATCCAGTTAAATACAATGGAACATTGATTATTTAAAACTTACAACGATTGATAGGTAAAGATAGTAATACCAACGAATATTCATCAAACATTTATCTCTTGGACGTAAGTCAAAGAAGCAATTTTGTTTGGACAACCTATTTCGACTCGGAAATAGGTAGCAATACCAACGGAGCTCCTATTGGACTTATCATCGGGCTTATCATCGGAATAATTTTCATAGTCATGCTGGCCCGGTATTTGTATAAACGTTGTCGAGGTAAATTTTACCGATTATAATTTACTGTCTTAAGACCGCGTCTTTCGAATAATCGAACCTTCTTTTAAGTATTAATGTATATACTGTATAAGGAAATTACTGTCCACATATCACAGATTACGTAAACCTGGATAACTTGGGACCACGTCTTCCGAACTTATATTCTAAAGTACGATGCAGTATCAACGTGTATTCCTACTTGCTTGAATCACAAATAAATTATTGATTTCTTTACTTGTTACTGTATAGGTACACGCAATCATAAATGAAAACAGAAGACCTGAAGCTTTGGTTTGCCTTTTTTGTTGCAGACTAAATTGTGATTCAGTAGTACATTTTGGCACACATTATGTTTCAATAAACTTGGCTACTCAAAATTGCTGGTATGTACAACATGGCAATCTCGGCTTACCACATGATCTTGACGTATCTTTGCTCTATTGTAATTAGGTGTCATTTTTGTAACATAGAAGTGACTACTGAAAATCACCTAATAAGATCTGCACGTTATATTATGCTAGGAGGTTCGTAATTCATCGTTATTGAAATTTTCAAAAAAATTGTTTGATCGATCGCTTACGTGCAATATACACATCAGTTCACCACATGTTTGTAGAAGAAAATGAACAAGGTAACCAAAATGTTTACCCATAATGTATTGGATGTCAAGTTTTTCTTTAGTAATTACTAAAAACTCAAACAACATTCAATTAAAGAACTTCCCGATGATGATAATGTTCAGCATTGTCCGAACTGTGGTACAGTAAATGAATTACCCGTAAACTTTCCTTGGCCTTGTGTGTTTTGTCCTTTTTGTGGAACCGATTATCACTGGGAGACTCGACGTATTATCAATCTGAGAAATTATCATGAGCCAGCTAATGTAATTGCAGAACGTATTGATATTTTCAATGTGAAGCGATGTCCGAATTGTAATTCAAGGAACGGAAGAGATAATGCCATACGCAGTAATGGTGTGTATTGTCCTGTGTGTGGTACAAATTATAATTGGATGAATCTACACATTTACCATCTCAGAAATAATCATTTAGCAAATGTGAGAGATATGAACGAAGCGATAATTTATCCTATTATCAGAGTTGGGTTTTGTATTCAAACAGGTCATCGTGATATGGCCTTGAATTGATCTACAATTGCTTGTAGGTAGGGTCGATAGAAAATTACCATTATTGTTTAGATAAAAATAGCTTACAGTTTGAATTGGTTCAAAGAAACATGGAAGATAGTTATATAGTTATCAGGTGGATGATTTCTTTAATTAACAATCAAAGGAATAAAATTGGTAATGAATTTTGATTATGATACACAACTTACTTTAAATGATTCTGCAAGTCAAATAAGTGCAAGTTCCTCAATATTACCGAATATTGAAATCATCTGCGTAGAATTATTTCAAGAAAAATAATCTCAAAGCAGAACAAATCATATAAACTGGAATTACACTTGAGCAATCTTATCCATGCAATTTTTAATGAATAAATGAAACATAATTTTCTTCTTGGACTTGGATAGTTTGTCACCACCAATATTTTTGATAGTAACAAATATTCATTTTCAACTTTTAATTTACATACTTGATCCATTTTATATAGCATCCGGTTAAAATAAAAATTTTTTAAGATGAACGAATTTTATAATTCAATCAAACTTAAATTCAGATTTAAAAATTCTGCAAACCATCTACAGTATCTTAAAAAATAACTTTGTTATTTGCATTAAAATAATTTCCAATTTAGCTTAGCATTACACAAGTATTGATTTCAGAAAGAAACAAACTTGTTGACAATGATATAATTACCCTAGTATTAATATATTGTACATGTACATATTAAATATATTGATTTATTGGCAAATTTAAAATGTGTATTACTGTAACCGCCAAAATAATTAACAAAAATATGAATCTTTGTAGCAAAACTTAACAAATCAAAGATTTTACATACCAAGTTTCGATCGTTATGCAATATGAAGAATGCATTCTTGTTTAATTTCAGTAATCAATATTACTATCACATACTGTATGCGATAACCATAAAAATTGGTTTAAGAATACTGTTTATTGTTTATGATGATTTGGTTATATCTATCGATTAAGCTGATAAAAAAATAAAACTTTTATTAACTTTTATATCTTTAATAAAATTGTTTTATAATATTATTGCTAGAATAGTCGTTGTATTATTGATCTATATCTTTAGTATTCTTCTTATCTGTATTTCCATAAGTTAATTATCTAATCCAATTAAAATAGATTATTATATTAATATATACTAATAATATATGTACAAATATCCTATTAAGAATCTTTTTGTTTAACCTTATTAATCTTAGAACTGTGTTAATTTTTATACATTAAAAAAGCTTAATATTAACATTAAGAAATTTCAAAGAAATATTTTTTACTAATAGCTCTTCATTTTTTATTTCTTCCGAAATAAAAATACCATATAACAATTATATACTTTTTACATTTTTTTTAAAAATAAAATTTAATATATTTATTAAACTATTACTAATTAATAGAGTTGTTATCACTTTGTAATAAATTCATATATGTGATAGTATTATTACATAGATAATGAAATTTCTATTATTTGTTAAACTATATAATATTTATTTAATTACGTTATTATAAAAAAAGTTTATTTTAAAAAACTATATATAATATAGTAAAATTATTATTCTTATCATCTGTAATTATAATTAAAAATAAATTATGGGTTTAAATATTTCTTATTATTAAAAAGTTAAATTTAATAATAATAATAATAATAACTTTCATTAATTAATCATTTTTTATTGAAAAAATTTCATTTTATAGCAACAAATTTTAAACAAACCTTTTCTTTTTTTCATGTAATTCAAAGTGTACTCATCAAATTAATTATTATAACCATGGAGTTTTCTATATTCTCAACAAATTTAAACAATTTCTTATATTACTATTTATGATAATTAAAACAAAAAATTTAAATTTTCTTTTTTAATCTAAAAAACAAATATAATTCAAAAAAAAACTTTTTAAATCCATTTATATTTTCAATCTTATCAACTATTATAAATATTTTATTATTATCAAAGATAGAAAAAACATAAAGATATTTTCAATATCAATACTATTTATAATATTTAAAATATAAACTTTAATAAGATTTTTAACAAAAAAAACAAATTCAAATAGTCAAAATTATTGTTTAAATTTAAGAATAAAACTTTTAAATTTTATTATTATCAATAAAATCAAGAAAAAAAATTTTAACTTAATCAATATCGTTATAAATTCTTATCCTAATTATTCTTTTTATTTTTATTATCTTAATTATTATTTATTATTTTACTTTTTTATATTATATTAATTAATGTAAATATAACATTATATAAGAAATTATTTTTTTTATTTTATTATAACAATATATTTAAAACTTTTTTTTATAAATAAATATTATTTCTTTATATATTTTGAAAAAATAATATACTTTACTTGTATAACCAATAAGTTAAATTATATTAATTTGTTTATATTATTTATTTTATTTAAAATACTTATTTTTAACAATATAATAATAATATAATAGTAATATAGTAGTGATATAAAATTTTTTAAAAAATAATAATATAACAATAATAATTTAAATATAATTTAGTTACTATATTATAATGTAATAATAATAATATAAAAACATAGTAGCAATTAAAAAAAAAAACTCTTTCTCACAACACTCCAATTCATAAAAAATTTCCTTTTTGGGTAAGATGCCAAGAACCGTGGATTGATAAACAGTTCAAGAACTTCAGGATGAAAGTACTGGTTAATAGTCCAAGGACTGCAGGGTGCAAAGGTCCCAATTAACTTCTCAAGAAGAAGAGGTAGAGGTTTAGGTGAGGTCGAAACCTTTTTGGACAAACTTTTGCTTTACCGAAATGAAACTTAGTAAGCTTTCACTAAGGATTTTTTTTACATGCCCCAAAACATATTGTCTAAAAACTATCTCAAACATAAACATTCCTTTCTTCAAAAACTATATATCTATCAAGAGACAGTATTTTATTTTTTCAGAGTTTTTGTTTTCTACTGATAATGACTAGTGAAAGATTCTCCATATCCTCTGGCTAGTCATTAGTTCTCGCCAACATTTTACATCCAAAACCCTCAAATTTTTTCACAAAAATTTTTTCACACAAAAAACCGAAATCAGTTTACCCCCATCAAAAGATCTACGACACACAAAACACCAATCACGTTTCGTACTACTCTTTTACATCAAAACAATACAACAACCTACTGGATTGGGAGAGCGCGTGACCAGTGCCCTGCGCGGGTTCCAGTATGGCTTCAACAACTATCAACAACAAAATAACACAAAACAATATTAGAACGGGTGTCAATACTCAACCCACTAACATAAAAATCGACCAATCATCAGACAACAACCACAATCCGCATTTTCAATCACAAACCTAAGAGTTACATGTGGCTTACATGACACCGACGTCTGACTGAACCCATATAGTATGTTCAGGAACCACATCTAACAGCAATCACAATATTCACATATCAACAACACTCTTTTATAATACTTAAACACAAAATGACGATCTTGCCTGAAATGTTTTTTTTGTTTTTATTTTTTCACGATAGATAGTTTCTCAAGTTTTCCTTGCTCAAAGGTTTTTCAATGATATATCTATCTTATATAGGTGGTAGGCTAATATCTATAGTAATATAATTCATATCTTAATATTAATCGTGTACAAGCTGAACTTTACCATATTAATAAAAATCATGAGTAATGCCTCACTTTAACATTTAAAAAAAAAAACATAGTAGCAATTTAATAGCAATAAAAAATAATAAAATAATAATTAATATTATTATTCCTGTTTTATTACTATTTTTTTTATTATTAAGTAACAATTAAATAACAATTAAATAATAATTTTTATAAAAATAAACAATTTTAACAATATTTAGTATATCTAATTAATACTCAAAAATTTTTTAAATTATATTAATATATTATAATAAAAATTATATGTTATTGTCCAATTCAAATATCTATAGTATAATTACATAAATTAATAAAAAAAAATTATTTTAAGTACATTATTTTAACTAATTATTAATATATAATTGTCCAATCCAAATATCTATAGTATAATTACATAAATTAATAAAAAAAATTTATTTTAAGTACATTATTTTAACTAATTATTAATATATAATAAAGTCTTTATCCACTTTAATTAAAGTTTCTATATGATATTTCAAATTATTAACCAATTTTTAGCAAGTTTATTAGATAAGCTTTTCTATACTTTTTGTTAATTAAATTTTAAATTTCATAAGTATACTATTTTTTTTGTTATCTTTATTTTTATCAATTATCAAATAATTTTCAATAGGATTTTGATTAAATAACATTACTAATCAGAATAAAATATTAAATTTTTTTGATTTTTTTCTATTTATTTATTAATTTAAATAATATTTAAAGTCTTTATTTATTTATTTATTTTATAAAATAATAAATTTTTTCCTATTCTTTTATATATTATTATAAAAAAATTTTAATTTTTAATTAAGTAATTTGATTTTTTTATAATTTTTAATTAAACTACAAGCCATGGTATTTATTAATCTTTTATAAATAAAAATATAATAATACAATAATACAATATAATTATTATATTATAATTAAATATTTTTATATATTTGCTAATAACTTAAGGAAATATAAACTAAATGTAAAATAATATTTGTTATAATGATAATTGATAAGTCTATTGCTAATAAAAGCTAAGATTTATATAATGATAATAAATATTTTTATTTATGAATAAGTAAAATTAATTGCAATCAAAAAAGATATTTTGATTTTTATTAATAATATAGATCTTTTCTATACAATTAGTTCAATAATTATATAATAATCAACAATAAAAAAATAAAATAAATAAATAAAATTGAAAATAATAGATTGAGTAAAACCATTATATAATAAATTATTATTTCTATCATATAATATAATTTATTTATCTGATAAGCAAAAACAAATAATATAAGTTAATTTGTTTTTTTTTTTTAATTATGTTATAATTCTTTATTATATTTTTTCACATTTATAT